TTCAAGAGCAGAGAGACATATCTTCTCTGGGCTTCTGTCCCAACCCATGCACCCAGGTCTGTGAAACTCCACTGAGGACAAAGGGCCAGGTGCCGAGAAGCCCTCAGCCAGGTCTCCACAGCCCCAGGTGTCTTTGGATTTGGAGCTAAAGGCAGAGTGTGTGAGTTGGGGCTTGAGGCCTGACAGGTGGCTGGCAGGGTGCCCCAGGCCCAGGCCTCGGGGGAGATGGAGCCTAGAAATACAGCTGCACGTGTAACAAAGGAAAGGAGGGAAAGCAAAAGGGAAGCACTTCTGAGCCAATGCCCACATCCTTACTTGGATGAATGGGGCTTGGTGGGGAGGGAGCTGAGACAGAGGGAACTGTCAGCTGAAGGATCATCCCTCACTGAGGGGGGATAAGGCCATTAGCCTCCACCCCAGAAACACTGAGGTCTTTCATATGCGGATCTCTCTCTCACACACACACACACACACACACACACACACACACACACACACACACACACACACACACACACACACACACACTTCCTCCCCGGGACACTGAGATTTCTTGGGCCCTGGATACCTCAATTCTCCTGACAGGCAGGCTCTGCTAATCCCCTCATTCCCTTCTTGAGCTTCCCAAGAGGATGGAGGAGGCCTAGGATGAGTAATCCCATCAAAACCTCCTAAGGCTGGAGACCTTAAATGGGGAGAGTGGGCCAGGTGGGGAGCCACTTCTGTTCCAGTGGGTCAGGGCTGGAGGCTCGCTGGGGCATTCTCTATGCCCAGATACCGTAGCTGAGTGACAGGTCATCACTAGCACCAAGGCCTGGTGATGGGTGGACAAAGGGGCTGGCCTGTCCCTCCCACACTAGCCTCAGAGTCCTGTGGCTGGGAGTAGAGCTGGAGGCTGATTTCAACTAAGCTGGGCCAGAGTCTCCAGGGAGTCCTAACCCTATCAGAATCATAGACCAAAGTAGGAGCAAATCAGCCCCTACCCCTAATGCCAACTGAACAAATGTACCCTAGTCTCCCTCTAATCTAGGTTTTATATGAACTGAATCCCTAACCCAACTCTACACCAAGCACTAATCTTGGCTGAACCTTATTTCCAGGACAATCACAAATTTTAACTAAAAGCATCCAACACTAAGAAAACCCTACTCCTAATTCAGGCCTAACCTTAACTCAGCTCTTGATCTAGCTTTCCTCTAACCCCAAACCTAGTCCTACTGGCACGGTGCTTCTACACCAACCCTAACCCAAACCCTGAACCAGCCTTGGGTGACCTGCAGAAGGTGTGTACTTCTGGAGATATAAAACTTTGTACATTTAAAAAAATTGTGGAGAGAAAGAGTCCATGGTTTTCATTAGGTTCTCAAAGAAGTTTGTGAATCAAAAAATGTTAAGAACCTCTGCCCTGATCACCCTAACATAGCCCAGTTCAAATCCCAATATCCTCGAGTAGTTCTGACCATAATCCATCTCTAATCTAGCCCTAACATTAACCCAGTCCTAACACCATTCTAGCACCTAAAACCAGTGCTAACTCTGCCCGGTACTGAGAACCCTACCGCAGAGAGCTAATGTTGCAGCCCTTTCCTACCTAAGCCAATTGCTCTTTCCCCACTAGTCCCAACCTCTGGCCCCCCATAGCTTCCTCTGCCTGCTGGGCTCCCCTGCTGAGGGATCCGGAGTTCTTGGCTTTGAGCCAGGCCCTGACGTAGTAGGACCTGGCTCTCCTTACTGGTCTGGGACACCTGCTTACTGTCTGCTCAATCTCTGCAGCCTCCTCCCTGGGCATGCGATCCAGGAAGTCATCGTAATGCTTCAGGCCAATGGCCTGCTGGGTAGTCAGAGAGGCCTGGTTTCGGATGTCTTCTAGGCTCCGGAAACCCTGAAAAAATAGCCAGGTGGGATGGCTATGAGGATCCAGGACCAATGAAGAGGCAGTGAATAAGCACACACACAAGGCTTCCATCACCCCCAGACTCCAAGGAAAGCCTGAGGCAGGACCAACCCCAGGAGCGGTTGGGTCTGTAATCAGTGGGACTTGGGAAAGGCAGGGGGCATGGAAGACACACCTCAGTCCAGCCCTGCCACAATCCTAAAACACTGGTTCATGACTCCATCAATCTGGGGGTGATTCTGGGCATGGCTGGGTTTGGGAACCACTGTTCTGGATACTCAGCCCAGAGGCCTGGTCTCCTCAGGAAGGCCCTTGCTGGTCTGGGGGACAGAGAAATACTTCTTGTCTCTGCCTACACCACAGATTAAGCCTCAACGATACCAAGCAACAGGGCAGTTCTGAGAGCCAAGAGAGGGATCTGCATGGGCCCTGGTCCCTTTGAGAAGTGGTCTCTCTATAGTCTGGGTTCATTCTCATCAAAGCACAGCGTAACAGGACTGTAGGACAGGAGCTCTAAGATACAGTAAAACTGAAGTGGGGGCTGGGACAGGGTGTGACCTGATGGTACCACATCTGGGCAGTCTTGGTTCCAGCTCCCCAGATGTTGGAGAAGAGCTCTAAGACAGGCACGCTTTCACTGATGTGGTCCAGCTTCCGCAGATGCCCGCTCTCCAGGATCTCTACGATCTTTTCAGCCATCCGCTTTCCAATTCCAGAGATACTGAAGGCCTCCTAGAGGAAGGGGAGACAGAGACAGGAAGGGAACTGACTCCTTTAGCAGATGTCTGAGTAAAAGCCAGTATGGCCGGTGGGCAACTGATAGCTGTATAAAGCTTGGGCAGAGTTGAAGATGAGAAGTTTGGATGGAATGGGCTGGGAAACTTATCTGCTGGTTCCCAGAGGAATGGAGATCAGCACAGGAAGCAGAGGAAAGGCAATAATGACGATACTAGTCACCACTGCCATCATAACAGTGGAGCTAATATTTATGAGGCTTTACCCTGTATCAGGTCCTGCATTACAGCGGTCATCTCATTAAGTCCTCATGGGAATACTGTGTCTGTTACTATTCTTAGTCCCTTTTTACTTTTGAGGAAACTGATGCTCAGAGGGTTTAAGTAACTTACTTTAGGCAAGTTACAGTTAGTGAATGATGGGAACCAGAATTCAAACTCTGGTCTGTTGCCCTTCAGAGGCTGAACTTTTAAAAAACTTTTTATTATGGAAAAAATTCCAAAGGAGAGAGAACAGTATACTGGACCCCAAGTACCCATCACCCAGCTTTTACAATTATCAAGATTTTGACAAGCCGCTTTCATTAATCTCCCCATTTTTTTTTTCTGTTGTGCAAGTCCCACAACATCAGAAAATCTTAATCACTCCACCTGATCCCCACTAGTGACTGGTGCTCCCACTGACCTCTGGCCAGTAAAGAGAAGACCCCCCCCAGCCCCCCACATACCCTCCCATGACCCCCAGGTACCTGGTAGGAGGTGACAGGCTTGTGGAAGCTCTTGAGGGCATTAATTGCCTTGGCATAGCCCAGGGCTCTCCACTTGTCCCCCTGAACACTGTAGGCTTTGGCCAGCACTTCCAGCTTCTCTGTGATGTGGCGGTTGTAGTTGGTCGCCTTCTGGCTCGAAGGCTGTGCACAGACCCACTTATCCAGGCCCTCAGGGGCTGGGCTAGGCTCACCATCTCCCTCAAGGGGGGTTGGGTAGCGGCCGCTGATCAAGGCTTCCAGATCAGCTGCGCCAACCTGGGTCTCTTCCCCATCACTGGTTTCACCACCAGAGCTGGGCTTGACATAGGGAAGGAGAAGAGACAATAAGTTCATGCCCCCCATGAGGAGGGCTCCTCAGAGGTGGGGGCTGAGTTTCCTAGTCAGACCCAAGAAGGACGCTAGGTCTTCTGCTGAAGATTTGGGTTCCATGTGGCTTCCCCTAGGGCCCAGCCCTAGGATCCCCAGTGATATGTGGTGGATATGGCCTGGGCAAATGCAGGAGTGATGAGTGTTGAGAAGAGTTAAATGGCTTCACAGTAAAGAGAGCCCTCCTCTCTCAGGGGCCTGGGACATTCTGAACAACCACTAGGCTCTCCCTGTTTCTGTGATCTAGTTCCCAGGAGAAGAGAGCTGTGGGGCCTGGGAGGCTCCTCACCTGTGCTTGGAGGCTTGCGACTTCCTCTGCCCTCCAGGAAGGAGATACAGGTCTGGTGCTTGGAGGGGAAGGAGAGAGGGCTGTCCTGAGCTGAGCCTCACTAGCTCCAGGAGGAGTAGAAGAGTCTTGGTCTGCTTTGCTGAGCTGTGCTTGATCCAGGTACCTGCAGGATGGTGATGGGAGGTTAAGACACCAAAGTCTCACGCTATCTCTGTTCCCAATCCTTCTCTACTCTGAAATCAAGGTTTTTTAATGTGTCCAATTAAGACGATGAGAGTTTAATAGCTCAAGAAAACATCTGAGGAAAGACTAGGACCAGCCTACCTCTTGGGGATGAAGATGCTGAATCCTGCTGTGTCCACGAGCCTTCTCTCTTGTAGGCACGAGCTCAGCCAGGCTGACTTCACCAGCTGAGTACCTGGGGGCAGCCAGGGCAGTCTAAGGAGGCGGAGGGCTCGCTCACAGTCCATGCCTTCATCCACCACAATGTGAGTGACCCCTGGGGCCTGGGCAGGGCATATCTGGCCACCATGCTGGACAATCTGCTTCTCAAAGAGTTCTGCCCGGGCTCGCCCAATGCCAGTGGGTACAACATGCGCCCGCACGGAGCTCAGCCACTCTGTGGAGGGGACATCCAGATACCTACTGTCATACTTTCAGATATGATCCCAATGAACCCTTCACAGTCCCCTCACCCCAATCGTTTTCCTCCACCCAGACAGCCTGCCTTCTGGAGATTCCACCACAGGCATACAGTTAATTTCCTATGGGCCATCACTTGATGTAAGGGGCAAGGATTCTGTTACGTCCTGTTCCCTGATATAACCTAGAACAGTGTCTGGCACCTTGTAGTTACCCTGTAAATCACTTCATTTGATCATTTATTCTTTCAACACATATTAGTAGACACTTATTACGTATCAGGCACAAAGCACATGTTTTGCCATTATAAGCCTCACAGTCTAATAGATTCCCCTCCCCCAACCCAGCCCACCATGTAAGCTTTTGCCATCTATTTGTCAATTTGGCTGCAAAATAACTTGTAAGTCTGGGGACCTAAGAAGGATCCCCTCCCCGCAGCAGCAGGCAACCTCCTAGAGTAAATGATTCTGCCGGTCATTTCCTTAGGGACCAGGGAGTATTTTCTGATTTATGGAGGTCTCAGGGTGGGGTAGAAGATAAAACAGCAAGTCGCCTGTCAAAGACTGGGGACCAAGCCTAGGACAAGGCAGGTAAAAACAAACCTGCAGGCTCTGGGCGGACAGAGTCAACTGCAATATCTGATTCTGGGCATGAACGAAGTAAGAAGCCTCAGGCTCAAACATATGAGGGTTCTGAGGCTGGGGCCACTCACCTCCTGCTGCTTCTCCGTCTTCCCTCTTGGGAATCTTTGCAAGTGCTTTTGATGATGGATTGGTATGAATTTTCTTCCGCTTGGGAAATGCCTTCAAGATGCCCCTGGGGTCCATTGAGGTATGGCTGGAGCCTGGCCTTTCTGTTGGAGGGTTGATCAGGGCAGCTGTCATGTGGAAACCCAGAACTGAGGCCCCCCAACCCCTTTGACTATGAAGGTGGGGTCTCTACTGACCAGGCCTTGGGGACAGTAGCCAAGTTCCCAGGAGTCTCCCAAAACCCAACTGAACTTGGGTGGTTTAGCCTAGCTCTGTACTCACCACTTTCTAAGTCAGAGTACTGGGGAAAATAAGGGGAAGAGTGGAACTATTGGGGGGAACTTTTGATGGGTACCAAACGATAACATTCCTCAGGGAGTTGCTCTGAAGATTAAGTGTGCAGTGTCTGCTCCTGCTGCATCCCACTTCCAAAAGGCTTTACCAAAACGAGATGCCAGGCTAGGAATGGAACTCCATCTTTAGGAAGGACTTGGGCTCCCAAAATGAGTGGGGACTCAGGGGGACCTGTATGTAATCTTTCTCTACCCCCATCACACACCCGCAGAGGAAAACCGGGGTGGGGGATGGCAGGTGGAGATTAGGAGGCGGGATGGGGGAACGCCCTGCACCTGCCCTGGTCTCGGACCTCTCAGCACGGGGGGAGCGCAGGCCCGCAGCTGCAGGGAGATGCACGACTGCAGCAGGTGTGGGGCGCCTTCCCGGACTGGGGGAGTCTCGGCCTCACAGCTGGGGGTGAAAAAGACGCTGGCAGGTGTGAGGCACCCGCCGCGAACGCAGCTGGCGCGCGCCCGGGACTCCCCCAGCTGGGGGCCAGGCGAGGGATGGACTGTCTGGATCCTGCCCTGAAGGCTCTTCCCCACTCCCCAGGTTCGGTGCCGGATGGGGTCAACTTCAGGCCGGACGGGTCACCGGGGGTGGGCAGGAGTAAATTACTTACCAGAGCAGCCAATGAGAGCAGACGAAGGGCGTGAGGGATTGCGGGGTGGGAACACGCAAATGTCCAGAATTTCTTCCGGGTCATCCGGAAGTGACCCTAGGCGGAAACGGTTGCCATGGCAGCGGCCGGGCACGCGGCTGGGCTGAGGGAAGATGGCGGTGACGGGTTGGCTGGAGAGTCTGCGGGCGGCAGAGAAGACGGCGCTGCTGCAGGACGGTAACTCGAGGCACCCCGCGAGCACCCTCGTCCTTTCCCCCAGCGTCCGGCCCTCCGCTCTGGCGCCTCAGCCCAGGACGGCAGGGCTGGAAGGTCGCGGCCTCCCCCTAGGGCAGTTACTGCATTTGCAGATGAGGAAACTGAGGCCCAGAGAGATGAGGTGACTGGAACACACGTCTCTGGACACCCTAGTTACCTGGACACCACCTCACTCCGCTCTGAGTTTTGTTACTAATAAATAATAATTCTTTTCACGTTCACGGTCATTTGCTCCTCACCGCTGTCCCGAGAGGTGGTTTTGACCCCATTTTACAGAAGAGGAAACTGAAATCCAGGATTTTAGGTCGGCCCCAGCTCCCCCAGTCAGTCAGTGGTACAACTGAATCTTGACCTGGGATCCCATGAACCTCAGTCTGGAGGTTCTGTTGCTGAAAGCAGCCTGGTATCATAGAGAGGCAGGACACCTGGGCTCTAGTTAACGACTCTGCCTTTAATTTACCGTGGGCTTCCCAGTCGGCCTCTTTACTTGTTTGAACCTCATTTTCCTCATCTGTAAAATGAGGTGGATGGATTACCTGTGTTGTCTCTGAGGTCCTTTCCAGCTGTAATGTTATGTTTGTAAGTGAACCTCTAAATGTTCCCTGGGTCTTTAGAGGAGACAAAGCAACCCCCTACCCCCACCTCGTGCTGGTCCTGGAAGAGGTGGGCACAGAGATATGGATGGAGTTCTGACTTTCTTCCACCCTAGGACTGGCCAGTGCTTCAGGGTCCCTCCCTGGACTCATTTGGCAGCCAGAATGAATTCGGTCTGAATTCCTGTAGCTTTCAGGAAACCAGCAGGGACTGACATCCACAGGCAGAGGCCAGTCAAGAAAGCGTGGAAATTGAAGTCAGCTGGTCATTTGCTCATTTATTCATGCAGTATTTAGGGATGCTTTTTACTGTGTGTCAGGTTCTGTGCTAGAGCAGATAGAAAGAAAAAGACATGTCCTAGGAGTTCACATAGTGGTCAGGAAAAAAATGTAAATAAACAAAAGCGTGTGTGTTAAATAGAGGTTGGACTCTTCTATAAAATGCTATGAGAGCACAGAGGTGAAAATGATTATCTCTTGAAGGAGGACCTGACAGAAGAGGTGATGTTTATGGGTCCTAAAGGATGAATAAGTGTTTGCTAAGTGGAGAAGAGGGGATAGTTATTCCAGGAAGAATGACTCAAGTGTAAAGGCACAGAGGTGTGAAAGTGTATGGCTGATTACTAGGGGCATAACAAAACATTTAGTGAGGCCAAAGCATTCACCCAGTCATAATATCTCCCTACACTGTGTAAGGTACTAGGTGCTAGGATGCAAGAGTGAATAAAAGGACACTTTTCTCAAGCGATGAGGGGAAATGGTGGAAAATGAAGAGAGATTGCAGATAAATTGAGGTATGTTGTGATACATCTCCTATGCCAAACCAAAGATTCTGAACATTATCTCATAGGACAGTGGGGTTTGTTTTTATTGTAAGAAGTACTTAACATAAATTTACCATTTTAGCCTTTTTTAAGTGTACAGTTTTGTGGCATTAAGTACATTCACATTGTTATGCCACCATCACCACCATCCATCTCCAAAACGTTTTCATCTTCAGCTGAAACTCTATACTCATTAAACACTAACTCCCCAGTCTCCTTATCCTCAGCCCCTGGTAATCACCATTCTACTTTCTGTCTTTATGAATTTGATTACAGCAGGAACCTCATATAAGTGGAGTATACAATATTTGTTCTTCTGTGACTGGCTTATTTCACTTAGCATAATGTCTTCAAAGTTCATCCATGTTGTCGCATGTGGAAATGAGGAAATGTCGCATGTTGCTTGAGGAAATTTTGATTTCCTCCCTTTTTAAGGTCTGAATAACATTCTTCCATTGTATGTGTATACTGTATTTTGTTTATGCACCGGTGTGTCGATGGACACTTGGGTTGCTTCCACCTTTTTTATTGTGAATAATTACTGCTGTGAACACGGGTGTACAAAATATCTATTCTAGTCTCTGCTTTCACTTCCTTTGGTCAAAGGATAGTGTTTAAACAAATAGTTCATCAGTCAGGACTTCCTTAAGTTTTTTTGTGAGTAACATCACAAAACAACATTGTTAGTCCCCCCACCAAACCAAAATCAAAAGAAAGAAAACAAACAAAAAAAGCCAAAGGTGTGTATATGCCTTGTCAAACCTCTCCTGTTGATTTATCCTCCTAATGTGTATGTGAGTGGGCGTAGGATGCTACTAACTTCCCGCCAAGAATCACTTCTGTTGCTAATGAGAACCCAACACATTTCTTCATAAATAATTTATGTTCGTTGTGGAAATAAGAAAAATAAATAAACAAGTCACTGGTAATCCTACCATGCAGAGATAATCACAGTTGACATTTCCATACAGAAACTTCCATATTTTTCCATGCATACAAACTCATACATATATATATATTTTTTAAATCTTTATTGGAGTATAATTGCTTTACAATGATGTGTTAGTTTCTGCTTTACAACAAAATGAATCAGTTATATATATACATATGTTCCCATATCTCTTCCCTCTTGTGTCTCCCTCCCTCCCACCCTCCCTATCCCACCCCTCCAGGTGATCACAAAGCACCGAGCTGATCTCCCTGTGCTATGCGGCTGCTTCTCACTAGCTATCTACCTTACGTTTGGTAGTGTATATATGTCCATGCCTCTCTCTCGCTTTGTCACAGCTCACCCTTCCCCC